CCCACCTGGCACGCAGTCTAGATTTTGGCACTGCACATTAGTAAAATTACAAACCCATTACACATCCAGAAAATAAAAATGATCAGAAGTTACTGCAGTAAAAGGAATGATCTGTCCATGGCAGGACAGGACAAACAGCTATGTACTGAAATTGCAGCCAGGTAAAGTCATATCATTTGTTACCAGAGAGACTGCAATGACAGCCAGACGCTGGGAAAAATTTCATGGAGGGGGTGGATTCCTCAGCAGTGAAAGCTGAAGACCATCTGTTTAACGAGCCCTGATCTTGTCTCATAACAAGTGAGCAGTGTAACTCCTAAGTCCATGTTTTTTAGGATTGCTCACGCACAACGGGCAATTCCTTTCTCTCCCAAAATCAGTTCAGACAACGATAACACCCAGTAAAGCGAGTATAACAGCGTTATCAAGCACTCCGCAATTCTCATTCTAGTCCTCTGAGCAGTTTCAGAACTTAGTTCTGACCTGCAACACGGCAAGTAAATATTCCTCAACTGCAGTTCACCAAACTGCATTTCTAGCCCACAAATTAAGGACAGCTAGAATACAATGAATCCTTCTCACTAATTTTGTCTCTCTCTAGACAGAGCTTTTGTGGCTGCCAAAGGGGTAAAGAACCTACCGCAAACGAGGCCCCTGAACACAGTTGTACATGCTATGGAAACTGGGTGTTTTATCTTGTTTTTCTTTATATACAAGGTATCAAGGGATTGCTAAATATTCAGAAGCATTTTCAGCCTTCCACAGTGGTGGATCTCAACTGTTTTTTTCTCCTGTTTGTTTTATAATCCAACAGGAAACACTGGAAGGCAGAGAGCAGCCAACCTTCACAAGCTAAGTCTCTGATATTGCAAACTGGAGTGAAAACTGATCTGCCATTGAACAAAGAAGCTGATCTCAGCACGGGAAAGATGCGCTAGGTGAAGAAACTCACTTCCAATGGAGAACATCATGAATCAATCTGCCACGAAGCACAACCTGAGAGAAAGCACAGAAAAGCAAACCACCAGGACCTCGAGTCAATAGACTAGGTTGCCTCACAACACACAGAGAAACTCCAGATCCCAAGACATAAAGCAAACGTAGGTCAGTGTCACCACATCAGTAACTAGGCTGGGGCTGTTTTGAGTGTTAAGAAAAACAAAAATTTAGTCTCTATGCACCCAGTAAGATTTACTGGGTCCAAAACATAACCATTAATGGCTTTTCCTGCAATTCCTCCTCCAGGGAGGACATCCTCACCCTACATGCATTTCTGAACGTCATCTCAACCCAGACCTGTAGCAGAACATTTTGGTACTTATGTTTAAAGTAACCCTTATTGAGCTAATGGAATAATCACTGCAGGAGTGAAAAAACAAAACTGCTTCCTTTTCCCCTTCCCTCACCCCACCTCATCTACTGTACTGTTTATATTTTAGTGTTCATACCCCAGAAGTGACAGTAGGGCTGGAAGCCTGGCAATCCTTTCTGCCAAGCGTGGCTGCACCTTTTCAAGCAGAGTACTTTAATCTAACAAAGCGTCAGCGATGTGCCCACATACTGACAGAACAGGCTCAAGAGGCTGCCCAGCACAGAATATACAGAAAGCCACTTTGTTGATGATGAACGGCTCATGACCCTACTTGAAAAAGAACAGACTGGTCCTTAGTTCAGGTTTAGTCATACCCTCCTCTCCACCAGGGCAATTCCTACAGAGTCTGGTATAACTGGAAAGAGAGACCCGTAACAGCTGCGGATGCTTTCTCCTAAGACAGAGGCTTGTCAGTATAAATCAAACAAACAAAAAAATTTTGCAAGCTTGTTACAAGTTACTTCCACTGCTCTTAATTTATATTTTATTTTTGAGTTACATCAGTTTACAGAGGAAAGATTTGTACTTTATGTTGCCTTTGTCACAGACATCTAGTCTTTGGATTTTTATTGAAAAACTACAGATTTCCACATTGAGCTTTGTATAGTTTGCACTCTGAAAGCAGGCATAAACTAGAGAGCTGCACTCAAAACATCCTATTTTTGCTAAGAAATTTAAGCAAGCCTGAATAACAGGCTTGATGACCTCAGCTCTCCCTTCCGTTGGCTCACAGAAGTGTTGACTCTAAAGAAAATGAATGCTTCTGCAGTAAGTGTTTTAAAAAGCCTCGATTTTAACAAAAACACTCTGGGAGAGGAAAACAACCATCAAGCAAAGTGCTTTGCATTTCACCTGTAAAACACCAACCTGGAAATCGGACATAGCAGAATACCACAAAGTTTGAAATTTGCAAGCTTTTAATTTCTGCCATAGCCTCTGAAAACAAGTGGGTACTTTATCTTACAAAAAACAAAACATACACTCAAGCTATTGTTGGTCAGGATGTTGTCAGGCACTTAGTCACTTGCTCAAATAAGCCTTGATTTTTTCCCCAAAAAACAACATTTAATATTTATAAAAGCAAAAACAGGACCAGCAAGACCAAGTCAACAAGAAATTTAATACACTGTAACTGCAGTGCTTCAGCTATCACAGAACGTGTACACACCATGCTTTTCAAATATGTGTAAACTTAACCTCCCTGACGCAGCTGGGGAAGGAAGAACAGGACTCTTCCACAGATTATTCCCTGCCTAGTGTCCAAATGGAGTAAAACTGACGGTGAATCAGATGAGAAGAATCCCAGCAAGGCTACAGGGAACAACCCACAAGGCACAACAATGGAAACTCCCAAGGCAAAGAGCAAAATGCCTTACTAGGAAAAAGCTCACAAGGAATTCTGATCTTCAAGCTTCTAGTAAGCTCTACTTCGCTACGGCAAGATGTAAATCATTTGATTAGTTCATTACACTTCCTCCAGATTAGTCCCAGCAGATTCTCTTAAATTTAGCAGCTTCTGCAACTCGGTGAATTCGCCATATCGGAAAGTTGCCAGATTAATAGCCCTAAAAAACTACACAAGTAAAAACTCATTGAGCATACAATGCAAAGTTGAAATGCACTCTAATAGAGAATCACCTAAGGAGAAAAGCTCATTTTTGTGCAATCACAAATCCTGCTACATCTTCTAGTTCAGATAATGCTTTCATAATGTGGATGATTACCAGCACCCAAACTGAAACCAACTTCCTGCATAAACCATCTAAACACCTTTAATTGATAGTGATTTTAAAGTCATTGCCTACTAGCTGGATTCAACTCACGACAACAACAGATTAGTTTATAGACCCAAAACAAACAAACAAAAAAAATTAAGCACTTGGCAAGAAGATCTTTGCTTCTGAAGACATTTCTGAGAATTAAACTCCTCACATAACACTTCAGGCTGCATTGCATCTCAAACCTCCTCGTAGCAATTCCCCAATAAGCTCTATTTCCTGAGCTGTGCCAGCTATGAGGTTAGCAAATAAACACGTTCCGCCTCTTTCATTTGAGAATTGGAACGTTGACTTGTCTCACCCAAAACCAGGTAAGAAAAGAGGCTTGTCAAATTGGATACAAACTCTTAGGAAGAGATTTCTGAGCCTGTACATGAATTGCAATTTTGCATGAAATACATAACTGCTAAAGAGATTAGGTTAGCCCTGTCCCTATTAAGGCAAACGAATTTGCGATAATTAAAACTGTATTAAATACTTCCAGCATGCTGAATTGCTTAGGACAGCTTCCATTGCAGAAAGTGAGTAGCACTTCTGAACTTAAGTCCTCAGAAAAAAATCACTGCAAAGAAAAGGACAGAGAGTTGGGTTGAGTCCCACTTTATAATTTCTCCAGACTAACTCAGCTCTTGCTGCTTGTGGTAGTTCATGGTTTGGCAGCAAGGAATGGAACAGTGAAGAGCAGTAGTAAAAATGTGTCTCCTCAGCTCAATGTTGCTTAAGAGAGTTTCTACAAAGCTACAAGCTCAGCTTCAAGGGCGAAGGGACCTTACATCGCACTCTAGCTGTTCTCTGGATGAATAGAGCAGCGCTTGGTGGCTGCAGAGAAACATACACCAGTACAAAATTCTCAGGACGTTATGCCAACAAGAACCCTGAAAAGCTCATATCACGGACCACACAGAAAACACCAGTAAGAAGTGCAGCAACCCAGACCACCTCATCCTGGCCTTATTGATGGAGATTAAGCAACTCAACATCCACTAGAATTAGGGATCTCCCAGGAACTGTCTGAAGTTATTCTTCGTTCTGCGTGACAGCTGGAGGGAGTGGGTTAGCTTTTAAAACCCTCTTCAGCCAGCCTCCAACCCCTTCTCTACATAAGCATCAAGAAATAACCAAATATTAAAAAGGGGCAGAGTTCTTACAACATAAGGCAATTTCCCACAAAAAGGCAACTGTGACACTACACTGCACGAGTCCTACTGTTGCCCCAGACAATCAGCCAGAGTCTTACGGGTGGCCAGCATGTATCATTAGCATGACACAAACCCATAAGCAAGCATACAGCAGATCAAGAGCAGTAACATGAGGGTGCCTATATTCACCCCCTGGTCAAGTCCACAAGATCTCAGCAAAAACATTGGTGAAGTACTGACCTTAATATGCTGCTCACATTTAAGAGGTCTGTTTTTAAAACAGAACACACTGGAACATTTATATTCTGTAGACTGGTAAGATTGTGGGGTTTTGGGGTGTTTTTTTTTTTTTTTTTAAAAGCATGAGGACTTACTTTCAGGCATACCAAACTAATGACAATTCATAAGATTTGCTGATGATCAATACCACAGGTTAAACAGAAGCTGTTTAACTCGGCATTTTCACGGGCGCCTTCTTGCCCCATGAAATGCTTCATCGGCTCATTCCACACTACTGCAATACCCAGCGCAGGTTTTTCTACGCTTATCACAAGCCTCTTGTTGTTTAACAGATGCCTCTGTCTTTAAATATGTGAGCAGATCTTAAACTTCTTGGAAGAAAGACTTTAGAAACATGAAGTAAGCTGTTTTTAAGCATTACTTTTCTCAAAGCAAGTGAAGAGGTAAAAAAGTGTGTGTGGTGGGGTGCTCTTACACAGCTTCCATCTCCAAATCATCCTCATCATCTTGAGAGAGCTGTAGATAAGGGTTGTCTGATGCTGGACGAAACTTGTACCCGGTGAGGACAAAGAACACAAGTGTGGCCATTTCATCTAGCAACTGCAAGTAAAAACACAGGACTGAAGTTTATTCTTGCAAACCTTCATGGTCATAAAGCATTTCTCCTCATTCATAAGGTTCAATATTTAATGGCCAAGAAGCCTGTACCATGGCAGAAATGAACAAAGCAATTCCCATCCTGTTATCATTAGTCCCAGGCTGTCAAAGCCCTTTGTTCTTTCAGCTTTCGCTGTCGCTTTAAATATAGTTACAACTCTAGCCATCATTCCAGTGCTTTTAAATAACTAAGGCAAGGCTTGGCTTTTAAATGCGAAAAAATATAGATATCTAAGTTTTTTAGTACTTCCAACAGTTAATATATTCCAAAGACTTCCTGCACAGTTACTTGGATTATACGTTAAAAAACAAGCATTTAAAAGTCACTAGGCAAATAAAGCCTGTAAATGGAAAAGCAAAAGCCTACTTCACTGGCTCCCTGGGGCCTCAATTACACAGGACAAACCTGACCAATTTTTTTCTTCTGTATGGTCTTGATTAATTTCCTTCAGACATTTTTAAACTGAAAGACTAAAATCAATAACACAATTACTTTCACACATCTCATGTGTGATCCAGCGGCCTTGCTGGACAAATATGAAACTAAAAATATATTCCTGCCACCCTAGGGGCATTAGTGCTAAAAAACAGGAGGAGCCAGGGCACAGCATTGCACTTTCAGAAGTCCTATTGAAACATGTAGGCCAAATTATGGAAATTTTTTTGTGCAGTTATACTTAAAGATTAAAGAGGGATTAAAATTCAAGGGATGAATGTATTGTCTTTTACTGGCAAATACCTGGTACAGCCATTTCCACTGGAATGGAACAGCAATCTTTATGAGAATTGCAATGATCCGTGTGAAGTAAATGTAACACACAATCTGTGGGAGGGAAAAGGACAAAGCATGAGTGAGAACAATAGCATCATCCTTGTAGAGCCTCTTTTTCCAGAGAAGTAGCTCAAACAATTCCGAGACAACTCATTATGTCAGATTAGCCTTATTATACTTCTTGATAAACACAGAAGATATAGACTGAGGGCTCTGCTACTTGTTGAACATCCAAATGACTCAAGCTATTATTAATATTTAAAGCATCTTTCTGCTCTAAGTATTAGGATTTTGTAGAATTTGTGAATCAGGATTGTAATTTATTACTCTTACCACTTATAGCAGTCTGAAATGAGACTGCTGGAAACCATTAAGAAGGCTATGCTCTCTTGGGAGGAAAGCTCACAGCTCCCACTGACTTCATCAGAAACTGCATGCCTACATCTCAAGGCATCATTTGATCCCAAGCTTAATTTTTAGCAAGTTTATAGTACGTTATTCAAGCCCATCAATTCAGGCTGTCTCCAGAGGAAATTAGCAAGCGTTACAAATAGCTGAAACCAATTTGAGGACAGCCAGAAGGATGCAACCACTAGGTACAGAAGGGAAGTTACTTTGAGAACTGTAAGCCAGTCGATCAAGATGCCAGAGCACAGCACTACCACAGAGCTAGGAACATCTCCACCCCATCCACCAATTACAGCAGCTTCCAACAACTAATCCAACAAAATGCTTGAAAGGCTCATAAGTGCCCTGTATACATATGTACAAGTTTCTTTCTTACCATAACATAGTAATGTCTGAAAAGCTTCAGCTTTGCTAGGTTAATGGCAGCTGCTAAGAGAAAGTAAAAGTCCATTAGGAAATTAGTTCAAATAAGACATAGTTTCTACAATGTAGACAAGCAGTCAGAATCAGAACTCAAGTAATCCCAAGCTAGAAGTTTTGTCCCACAAACCGTTGGCTGCTCTGAGAAATGCCAGTCTGGCTTCTTCACGCCGGACAATTTCTAGACTGCTGTAAATTCCCTCTTAAAAGGCAGCTCAGTGAGATTACCTTTATGCTGCTTTACGTGCTCACACTCTGCAATAGAGAGCTTGTCTCTAATGCTTATCCATATACAGCCAGCTACATGCTGTTGCCTCACCCCTGCCACAAGCCATGGCACTTCACTTCAGAGTCATTCAGAGCAGCTAAAGACACAGAACAGGCCAGGAAGTACTCAACAGAAGACAGCAACTTTCTAGGAGGTAATCGGGGCTCGGAGAACTATTGCACCTTGATGAACAGCAGCAGAAATATTTTAGCACCTAAGCTGTGTCCTCTATCATTCATGCCTCAGTTATAATTTACAAGTGAAACGGGAATTCATACTAAACAGTTCTCATGGCAAATGCATGCATTTGAGTCAAATCATGTAAGCTAAGGCCCCCGGCTAACCTGCATTTATTGGACAGATTACATCGGCTCTTGAGGAACAGCATATATTGATGTGAATGAGCAGAGGCCAACAACAGACGGAACAGCTGTCAACTCCGGTTTGAGAGTCAGGTTTTATAGGTGCGGGAGGATTACAAACGTGGACCCCTGGTGTTTTTGTGACGACAGGAGAGGCAAAGAGTCCAAGATATGTTGACAGCATACAGAGATGCAATATATTTGGAGTCAGCGAACACAAGTTGCCAGCCAAAGAACGCTAGCACGTAATTACTAGTGTTCCTTCCAAACCCTCCTTATGTGTTTATCATATGTAGAAGTGCAACACGTCGTGCATAAGTTTGCCTGCACTCCCTCAAAGAAACCACCCACTACAAAAAGCAGATTTGTAAATGGCTCCGTGTATTTCCACATGAGATCTTCCAGGGTCCCAGTAGCGCAAAACACAGTATTATGCATCAGGAAGAGGAGGGCTGAGAGCTACAAGATGCTCCATTTCCTGTGACAAAAACATTGAAACTTCTCCTAGGAAAAGGCAATATTAAATGCACCACTTGCAAGAGAAATTGTGCCACAGATTCCCACTATATAAATTACAGCAAATACAGACACCACTCTTCCAAACCTACTTTGTTTTATCTAAAGAACAAGAGAGTCACTTCCCAGAACTTAAAATAGTTCCCACAGACGGTAAACTATGGACACCATGAATTAGATATAAATCCTCCTCCACTGGATGTAATATAACAGCACTATCTGAGTAACACAGGACATAGATAACCGACAGGTAGATAGAACTAAACTAGCTAAGAGTGGTTTTGATTTAGGAATGGGTAGAGGCTTCTATACTTCCCCATCAAATGGTATGTTTAACCTCTGACAGAGTACATAGCACATCAGTAAGAGAAAGCAGCACCAGAGCTCAAGGGGAAAAAAAAGACAGCCTTCTCTATGAAAGAACACCAAACGCATGTGCGTGAGCACATGTGCATGTGTAAATCTTACAGCACAAACAGTATGTCAGAGCAACATTGGGTCTTAATTTTGAGAGGGTACTACCTTTTGGACTGCTATATGAAACACTAAATACAGAATAGCATCTACGGTGCAGTATACAGTTCTGGACTCCAGAAAACACTGCCCAAGCTCTAGTCTTGCGTTTGTGGAGTACCGGCAGTCAAGTTCCAAGAGCTCTTCACTGGACAACAGATGCCAAGACCTGTAACTGCAAGAACAATAAGCTAACCAAATCCTTAGTAGCTAAGCCAGCCCAGAGACATTGGCTTAGCTACTTCTCCCTCATTTCCCCACTTCCCAGAAGCTAGTTTCTCATATTTAAATAGCAGAAACTCAGGGATTTTCAAGGGTCCAATCTCCAGACAACTGAATGTTAAAAGCTTTGCATAATATAATTGGAAGAAGATTAAAGCATGTAAATAGGCAAGACAAATCCATTAGATCTTGCAGTAGAAAAGGCAACGTTGTCTTATTTAAAGAGCAACTACACAGTGTGATCACAAAGATCCTGTGATTTACCACATACAGGACTGTGCACAGAAGGATCTATTTTAAACTCAATGCATTCAATTTCTCAAGGACCACCACCAACTGGTGCAGTGACAGGCCATGAGGATTCCCAGGCTTTGCAGCTAAAGGAGCACCAACTCACTCAACAGCTATGATTCAAATTGCCAGTCCATCAGTGCCTTAAAGCCAATAACTAAGTAAACTGGGGAGTCATTTATTTCTGATTCACACAGTGCATAGGAGGAAAGGATAGTGAAGCCAAAGATCTGGCTGCCAACTGAAGTGCCACAATGCCACTTCTCAGCTGACTGAGCACAGCTCAGATCTCACCTACTCATCACAATAATACAGAAGAGTCATAGGTTGACAAATCTACACCTAGATATCTAGAACGGCTCAATGTGGAGGAGGAGAAGGGTAAGGGGAAGAAAAGGGACAGAAAAACACCAAGGAGAAAGACTGAAGAGCCAGCTCCAAAAGCTGGCTTACTCAGTTACCTCCACTGGATGCTTCCTCTAGCTGCCTCAGTTTCAGTAATACTTCACCCCACTGTCAGACATTAGCATCAGTACTAATGTACACCTACAAAATTCTGTCCGTTTCTCTAAACACCTCAAAGTTACAGCACACAGGTCTGGAGAGAGTCTAAAGTCGTCATTGCTTGGCATCAGCAGCCTTTTTACAGGCTGAACGTGCCCCAGACGTTAACAGTTGAGTCTTGCTATGCTGGACGCTTTAAAACTTAGGTTCACCTAGGCTGGCAGTTCAGACACTGAGAGCAACACTCACAGAGTGTCATTTACACTAGGCCAGCAGCTGTCATTTACAACTTGAATCACTTGCAGACTCAACCTGTAAAGCTGTGATAACACAGCAGCAATCACAGCATGCAGTAAAGGCTGGGTAAATTTGTTTTGTGTATGATAAAGAATCAGTACTTAACTGCAGAGTAGAAAGAAGAGTACAGACTCTCTATCAAAGGTTTCACAAACGTTTACTTGTGCTCCACCTCTTTCATAGGGTAATTAAAAAGATAAAAGCCATCTTCTGAGGAAGGTTTGACACCTTGGTTTGAAATAACATTTATACCTTTTTTCAGTTGCCCTCTCCATCATCATTTACTTTAACAGCCTGTACTTGTAACAGCCTGATCTGCATTAATCAAAACATGGCATACCACGAAGTTTTGGAAGTCAGTCCCTCTTTTTCAGATTGCCTACTATGTCAATTTAAAATGCTGAGACAGCTCATAAGATGGATGAAAAGGTCAGACCATCAACTACATTCCTACCCACCAGCAGACAGCAGGTTTTGATGAATAAATCTCACCTTTTCAGAGAAAAAATATATATATATATATAAAATAAGACAACTGCAGCTGAGGGCACAGGGAGCTCAAATCCAGACAATACACTACGTAAGGGCAAACCATAATACACCCAGAGTGAACACCCTAAAACACAACTGAAAATATTCCTGCAGTGCACTCCTTGCTATACTGACTGGTGCATCTGAGATGCAAACCTTGCCATTACCAAATAATAAATAGAAGTTTTCCAAAAACCCTTTAAGAATGAAGACATATGTAGATTTAGACCTCAAAAGGCAACTTCAAGAGTAGCCCAAAAAAGGATGTCCTATAATGTCTACAGCACTCCTCAAAAGCATTCCTGTGCCATAAAGGAGAGGCTAAGCCAACAGATACAGTAACTCTCTCAGTCTGTGCAAGTAACATCTCATACCTTCTCACCTGCAAGAGGATGGCAGACTGGTTAATCCTGAATCTTTTGAAACACATGAGCCATTTGGCACAGAAGTTCCCCGTCACAGTCAAAAGAAATTCCTAAATGCAGAATTATCAATAGCAATTGCTATGTCCACTCTGTATAGCTATCTGGGATACCTAGAAGTGATACAGTGGAACTTAATAGGCCTCCTTCATTTCTCAATTTGCAGCTTCCCAGTACTACTTATTCAGGTCTGTATACTTAAAATCACTAAGCTTTATCTCAAGGTTTGAGAGGTCCACATACTCCCTGGAGCACTTTTACCCCTGCACTACTTCCTCCTCCTCCTCCTCCTCACTTGAGAGCTGCAGAGGTGTTTTAGGACCGGTCTCCACAGAGCCATCACCTCCAGCATCTGCTGAGCTCAGCTACAAAGATGATGTTTCTTCACCACGTAGACCGGGCTCTCTGTTCACAGCGTTTTCACGGTACAGAAGCAGGAATAGAGAGAATGATTTTTCCTGATATGGGGGCAAGCATGAAAGCATTAATCATCATTTGCCCACTGCACAGCGCACACAGAAAGTTGCCTGGGAGCTACATGCTGCAATGTATTTCCCCTAGTACTACTGCCAACGATGACATGCTGCAGTGCTTCAGAATAGCTAACCGTTCGTCACCAGACTGCACCAAGTTTCACATCTCTCCTCACATACAGAGGTATGGGCAGAACAAAAACCGTGGTGGCGTTTCCAGCTTTCCACTCCTCCCTCAAGCAACAGATGACGTTATATGTAAGAGAAGGTTACTTGACTTGAGAGGTACAGTGACCAGTAACCTGAGTTTCAAACAAAAATAAGTTTACTAAAGCATATTCCCTGTTTTCTTTTTCTCATGACACCTTTAGATCAGAAGGTTATGATAGTTTAGCAGCCTTCTAACCAAGCACTTCTATCTTAGTTTGCAAGGCTGATTTTCTTAAATCTGTAAGCAAGGTATTTGTAATGCACATCTAGAAACAGACAGACAACACATTCCTGTCTGAAAGGAGCTACAGTGACAGACCAGGACAGGGACAGCTAGGCACTCGCTTAAGTCTGAAGGTGCTAAGCTTAAAAAAAAAAAAAAAACCACACACTTTTAAAATGGAATATTTACGCCTATTGCTGTGCAGGACAAGGAACCTGTGTAGGTCAGATATTTTACTTATGCTAAACATCACCTTCAAAGAAAAAATGCAAACAACCAGTCGTATCAATACTACACCATGCCCCCTCTTTACTAGCAAGCCGTAACGCCTGTGCATGTAACGTCTTCCTGGATAAGTTATGGCTTGAGGTCCCTTCCTCTAGCTTTCCCACTTTAGAAAAATCATCTAAAATCAAGTTTAAGTGAACATTAGCTAGTGACTCCAAATGACTACTACCTTTAACAAGCCTTTTAAATAACAGTACATAGGTAGTCCAAGGGCCTATAGCAAGCACAGCTGTAACAGACTGAAAGACTAGTAGTCAGGTCAGCCTACTACTTCCTTTCTACTCTAGACAGACTACAGTCATGGCTGCACTTAACCCAGGGGGGTGCTGGCTAACAGAGAGGTTGTGAAGGAGCTGAAAGAGGACAAGACAGAGAGACAGTCAGGAAATACCACTAGGATACTGAGCTGTAAAGTCCTGGGGCTGACAGTTCTGAAGGACACAAGAAAGTCATTTTCCTTAGTCTTCCTCACCAGTGAGGAAGTCACCAGAAGACCCAGTGCTAGGAAAAACAGCTATTCAATTTATAGTGTATATAATTCCCCAGGACACCCTATAAGTTAATGAAGTCTATGCAAGAGAAATAGGAAAAGCAGCCTCTGAGGCAATAACAGACGATAAAGCCTGGCAAGCAATAGGCAGCCTGACCAGGACTGCATTTGTAGATGCAAGATTCAGTCAGCTCTAATCACAGGGTAGGCAGTGCAGCAATTAAACTGCATGATCCACTAGCTTTCACCATTTAAAGAGAAAATCATTGTCATTTGTGGGAAAAATAAATGCTGGTGAACTTAGAGTTTCTGCTAGGCATATTTTTCTTGTGAAAAGATAAGACATTGAGCAGCACCCACTGCAGAATATGGCCTCCAAAAGAAGTCTACAGAATTAAGAGTATATGGCTCCAGTCAGAACTATCCATTTATAAACCTACCATGAATAATTTTTACCTTATTACAGTGCAAACCAAATCACCTTCAGCTTTCTCAGCCAGGCACACTAGCAGGGTGACACCATCAGGCAACTTGCTGCTCCTCTTACCACATTCTTGTTCGCTTGCTCCCTGTGGGCTCCTATCAGCAGCCTCTAAATACCTGAAGAGCATCGTATCTGACAAGCCAGTCCTGTCCTTATGGCTGTCCTGGCCACAATTTGATGCCAGCCTATATGCTGTTTTCCCTGGAACATTTACTTTCCTTAGCTATTCTTTTATTACTAGGGCAGCGTAAGGTTGCTGCAAAGTCCCTCTCAACACACAATTACTGAACTTGCAGGATCTCCGCAATCAAGCGCGCAAACACCACTGAGTCATCTACAGATGACATTCATGGCGAAGAGCACCATTATCCATGCAGAACAGGCATCTAACAAAACACAGAACTAGGGAACAGCCCTAGAGACAAGTGTATATAACTGACTAGCTATAAAGACACATCCATTTCTTCTCAGACCACCTTTTTCTTCTCAGACCACCTTTTTCTTTTACCTGCATTATACACTGCAACGTGTCCTTCAGAATAAAAGAGCAGCAGCAAGGCTTGGATATACTCAGATCTGAATTCTGCCCATCACAACAAACAGTGGACAGGTCTTTAACACCGAACATTCTTGATGCTGGCAACCTTACTTTTCTCCCTCAGTCAGTAGGTTTTGAAATTAAGCAAACTCCATAGCACCATCTTGCGATAAGAACTGTCAAGTGCAAGGTAAGCACAGGCTATACGAACACCTTAAGGTCACAGAGATCTAGTGGTTTTCTGTCTTAGCACTAAGCCACTGAAAGAAATCTCAGCACTGGGAAAAGGAACAGAACCCATTGCCACACAGCAGTTCTACCTTACTTATGTGAAGACTGACCCATTTGTATAGTAGTCGCACACAGAGGCTTTAGGCAAGAATCAGGCCTTACTTATGTGAAATCCTCAGTTTGGAGGAAAGTACCCCTGCTTCAAAGAATCTTCAAGTTTAAGCAGACGCTGCGACATTAAGCATATACATACTCCAGAATAGCAGAGGCGGACAAGGTAAAACAAATCAATCAGTGAAAGTCACTGGACCAGTATAAGCACGTTGATCAGAAAACTATCAGTAACAACACTCATGTTAGATTATCAATAGTAACCTCTTTTACATTATTTCTATTAGTAATTAATACTTAACTTTTTTTTTTTTTTGCAACCTTGAAGCTCAGAAGTGTTTGGCTCATCTTTACGTATTGTTCAGTTTTACAGTTGAGAAAAAGAGACCTAATCTGCGGTCTCTACAGAGCTGAGCTCTGTACCCACCCCTACACTTCATCCAGTAGATCACAGAGGTAACCTGCACTAAAATGCAAGTCTCTCTTCAGCAGCCAAGGAATGCCTGGAAAAAACATCTAGACTAGAAGACCATCTCCAGGAAGGAGAAACAAAAGCTAAAGGATAAGACTGGGTTTGCATAGAAAGGATGAGCCAAGGATGACCTTCTCCGAATAAAGCTTTCAAGAACAGTCAGCCTTCAAAACAACAGAATACTAAAAAGGCTGCTCACTTCCAAGGAAGCTAGCTTCATGGATTGAATCTTCAGCCTGCAAACTGCAAACCAACAGCTGATGACTTAATTCAGATGTGAGAGGATGAGGCAGAAAAGGAGCTGTACAGGAGCTGTATTTGGCTCGACTTTCCACCCATCATGTCATTTTCACTGCTACATTAAACATAACTCACTGGTACACAAGCAATCCCTTAAGCTGCTGTACAAACATATAAGCTGAGGTCTGTGTGCCAATTTATGTTTTCTTTCATATAGTAAGGTTTAATCCTCTCCTCCCTGGTAGGGCCGGATTTCTGAAGAAACTGAAATAACATGGTCAGTTTTCGACTAGCAACTAGCAAAGCTGGAATTCATTTCTGGTTCTGCTTCTGAACACTCAAGTCTGAGAACAGAGGCAAAGCTGTCAGATGATTTGCTCTAGATGTCATGTCTAGCTCAAGAGTATTGAGAGCTCTGCAAGTACCAGGGATTGATTTCTATCTACAAGTTACAGCAGTCAAGGCAATGCATGAAAAGGGTCATTTTCCAAAAGCCATTCCTACAAGCCCACTCAGGAAAATCAGCAATGTGACAATAATATAGCATAGATTTATAACTTTAGTTTATTATATTTTAAATCAATATAATGCGTTTGAAATTTTGGCAACATTTTATGGCACGTAGCATAAAACAGCACAACAAATTAGATTACTTGCCTTTTCCATCTGTTGCTGAAGCCTCCTGTAAGTGTCTTATGGACCTAAAACATAAAAAAGGGTAGATTAACTATAATTTTAGCACTCCTTTTTCACTGCAAGCCTCTAGAATTCTGACAGCTTTGTTAGCTCGTTGTGCCTGGGTTATGTTCTTAATTAAACGCGCTTAGCACTGCATATATTTCACCCCCATCTCCTCAAGTCAGGCAGTTAGTTCAAGCATCTGCATCTCTGTGTGATTAAGAAAGCAGAGTGCTAAAGCCTACTTCAGCCTACAGAAAGCTCTGTGGGAGGAAAGGAGCAGAGTGAAAAACTAGGGCATTTTCCAGCATAATGATTTTCACTAGTTCAAGTAAGCTGAGCCACTGTTCAAAGTTCTGCCAAGCATTTGGCATCTTACTGCTCTTTTAAGCTCTTTTCATTTAAATAGTTGATTACAGCTTACATGTCTACATAGACAGCTTATGTAACAGAAACTACCCTGCAGGAATGGATTTTCAAGGGCCAAGTCTTAGTCACCTTGCTCACATGAGTCATCCCACCAGCTGCAGCAAGACTATCCAGATGAAAAAGGGTCAGGATTTTTGTCCTAGGCTTCACTGCCAGTTTATGTAGGTGTCCTGACAATGCAGGAACACCAGTTGCATGCTACAAACAGTTACAGGACAGTCTGCCCAAGTGCATTTGTCTTTCAGACACAGTTGCCTTCTGGAAGGCGAGTTTGCACCAGCTTATCACTAGGTAGGACATATGGGGCATTACGCAGTAAGAGCTGTCACTGTAAAATCACCTTTATCGCAGGAAAGAAAAGGCTCTCTATAATGATAGTTAGTATTCCTGTAGTTATTTATCATAGCCAAATGTTCTCAGTCTCAGAAGAGCTGCAGTGCTTTCATGAGAGCAGGGGAAGAGGCAAGTGGGTACTGACATGCAAATGCCTTGGAAGACATTTCACAACCTTGGCAGAAGGCCACTAAGGCTTTCTGTAGTTGGGTCTTTTATACAGAGGACAAATGAGAAGGCAAATCCAGTTGAACCCATCCTACCAAGCCAAACTGAGGCTTACTCCTATCTACTGAGCAATATATACATTTATACACACACATATATAAACAAATATAAATATGCACTAAACATAACATATTGCATTGTAGTGCTACATATGCAAATATAATAGAAGTAGATATATAGTAAATATATAAATTTATCAATATATACTATGCAAATATAGATTGCTCTACAGTATTCTTATATATTTCTGTGTGTATATATACAGGCACACATAATAATGCAAACATATATATATATACACACACACACACTATATATGCATTACGAAACACTTCCACACTAGAGTGATGGCATGTTTACGAGACACACATGTATATTCCCTCTGCATTATAGAAAAAATGAGATGCTGGAAGAAAAATGTCCTGTTTTTATGAACTAAAGTAGCCAGAAGCTCCTTCACTGCCTCCTTTAAATCCAGCTGTTTATCCAATTAAGACTAAAAATGAATTTAGAAGATAAACGTTCCGACTAACCGGCAAGAACTAACACTAGCATTTATCCGAGTTATCTGTGTTTTAGTGGACTTGTATACAAGTAACGTTTTTCTGGCCAAGTAGAGTAGAAGGAAGGGCAGGGAACCGTTCCCTGTGGGACTGTTTCTTCTAAACAACCAAGTAAATATGCAGCTACTCTGGTCGAAGGCAGCACTGGTCATAGACAGCACTATTGTTTTAGCACTTGGTAGTTAAGTTTCCGAACTCAGTACAGCAAAATCCCAATTCTCAATGCAAGAGATGCAGCACTTCTGAAAAGTGCCGAGTTTCAAAAGCACCTAGAGCCTGTTTGCACTGCATTGTCCACACTTTTAAAAAATCACCCACTCTAACTTATCAATTCCATGTTTGTTTTTTCAGGTCTGCTCCTACTTTGAAAGGTAGAGAATTTTTCTCTATATTACTCCACTGATACTCCTCAAACTTAATTTGCTAGGAGCCTGTAAGCTAGAGATGATAACCGAGTTCAGTGTTGGTATGCGCTTTCAGCCTTTATCACCCCGTTTAGCCTCCTAACGGAATCAGTAAGCACCACTGAGTGATGAAAAAGGATAGAAAACCAGGTTATTTCTCAGAAACCATCACACTGATGAAACTTGCATCTCAGCATAAAGGTTCGATGCACATTATTAGCTCTCTCTACCATTTTTTAACTGAAGATGACAGCCTGCTCATTTCCAAATGAGCTGTCTTCTACAACACAGGATTAAAAAAAGGGGTCAAGACTAATACGTGTTAGAAGATTAATGGAATACTTGACTCTACAAAGGACTGAGATTTTCTTTGCTTCGGCCGTACCTTAAACTCTAACTAGCAGCCGATACCCATCGGTTCAGAAACAGCCCTAGCCATTAGGGCTCAGAAGCGATGCATCACATACAGCGACTCACCATACCACTGGAAACAGAATGGCTCCACAACACAGTAAGTCTACCAGGAAAAGAATTTCTTTCCACAGTCCATATTCGGTTGTTCCCTCTTCTGTCGACTCTATGATAATGTATGCCACATTTGCCAGTACCTGCAGGACAAGAGTTATTTAATGGTTCCAGAAGCTTTTCAAGGAGAGACTAGATATGGGCTGCCAATTCAGCAAAAGCGCTCTCATACTTGCAAGAGCCCATTCAGTAGCATCAGTAATAATTCTGCATCTCTATGCCAAAATCACATGTTCAGCAGCATCTTCACAGGATTTACAGAAAAAAAACTGACTGGAATTTATTTCTGCTGACATTCAAAAAGAAGTCCTTTTTGCTATATACTATGCTGAACCTACTGTACCAGTAGAGATAAAAGGAATAAGAGTTATTTATTTAAAATACAGAGACAGGACTCTGTATATATACAGAGAGCAAATACAGACTAAATGCTTTATTCTAAATTGAGTAAATAATTCAGTTTGGTCACTGACAGTACTCCACACCACAGCTCTATAAGGGCCCCAAACACTAAGTATATACTTCTGTTTTTGCAGGCGGGGAAGAGACTCCATTTGGAAAGACAGAAACTCTCTTCTACGTACAATAGCAAATGCAAGTGCCATCCTCCTATTTACCTCAGGTCCTGGAGTAGGAGCCAGGCGCTCGTCATTTGAGCATACTGGGAATGTTCCCCTCAGACCCAATGGACTTGCAAGTTTGTTTTCTCTTCTCTTCAAGCCACTGAGCAAGCATTTCAAGAGTGACAGCTTTCATCTAATGTCTTCGCTTAGTACTTTAGGACTATTTCGCAGCCCAAGTTTTGCCCCAGCCTGAATATATCTACCTTACAGCTGCTTGTTGATTTGCTGACCCTCTTTGATCACTATTATCTCATACTCGTATGAGATAACACGAGGAGAAAAGTGGGATAATTACAGAAGTAGCTTCTGGCCCTTTCACTACCCCCCAAGAAATTTTAACTTAGGTCATAAAGGTCAACTGATAGGTTTATGCAAGCAGTAAGTGTATGGTGTATTGTTTCAGGTTCACTGCTTTTACAGTTTCCACAAGCAGTTCTCCCACAAGATAGCAAGTATTGACACAACTCAGTCCTCACCTGAAGCGGGATGACAATCATGAAAATTTTTTTGTCTTTATCTGAAAGGATGTGTTTAATGAAAGCCCAGCCTGTGCCAATGAGAGCAATAGTAATGAACAGAAGAGCACCCTTCAGTCTGAAAGAGAAGTAGACACCACAGTGAGAGACTTATTTCATCAGACTCCTTCCTCTGCCCAGGTCATCTCTCCTACAGTCAGTAAAGCCACTAACCCAAACATATGCACTGCAGTTCACAACTTTGATGAGCGCCCATCCTACAACAGTGAAGCAGATGTACTCGCTTCCAACTGTGTATCACACACCAATATTAGATTTCATTCACAACTGTCAATACATGCAATCTTTTCCTGGTGGAGTTACCCATTTACCACAGTGAAAGGGGAAAAAAACACACTTGCAGCTGCACCCTCTCACCATTCACACCAGAAACAAATCAGATACTTGAATATTAGTATGAACAAAGAAAAGCAAAGCATTTCTTCTTTTACTGCTCCACCCACATAAGTACCAATTGTCTGCAGCTGCCCTCTATAAGTAGAGCTTTTCCCTTTACACAGGGCTGATTATTGTCTTGTCACTCAGACCATAGCACCAAAGAATCAGCAATTTCCCAATTTGTTGGGGGTGGGGGGGGTGGGGGAGGGAGAGATAAATTCAGTTTCGCTCTTTGAATCTATCAAAACAATCTTTTGATATACTTACAGGTGAGTGATGTAATAAACAACAGCCCAGCCTTCAATAGGAAATCCCTGAGAAGAAATGTAGTGATAGTCGATCTGGAAGCAAAAAACAAAATGTTGCACCTTATAAATAAAAACTTTTCATGAGCAGCCCACCCATTACTATAAAATAAGTCTGCTCTGACAGCCATTCCAAGTTTCAGTTTCCATCAGTGTGTACAAACTCAGGTTTGTTACATCTCGGAGTATTTCCTCCCAACCTGTTCTAATTCTGTTCAGCAGCAACGGAGATAAAACAAAGGGAAACTATTTCCAAAGTGTTAGTGAACGTACCTTTTATACAATCTACATCCTTCCTACACAGCTCCCACATTTAACTATAGTTGAATAAAGTTGATATGAATAGTTGATCATTCTTTGTTAAGCTCACTTGCATTAGGTGACTAGAGGCATCCTACCCGATTCAAAAACGTGAACTACAAGTTTGCAGCAATTATCTCAGCATGAACTTGATGGTGGAAATCATGGTTGGCATGGAATAAACGTTTGCCATTGTCACATTAGATCTTTCCAGTAGAAAGGCAAACTGAATACAACTCAATAGAGACTTTGGCTATTGAACGTGTTAAAGCTTGTAGCGTTAGGTCTGTTATGTCATCAAAGGTAATGGCCTTGAATTTTACAGACGTTCATCAAGGTCTCCATTCACTAATACTTACCGTAAGCTGGCATCATAACTCAAGACTTCAGGCCAGCCTCGGAGAGCTGAAGCACTAGAATTCACAGAACTTATTCAGCCCTCACATATATGCTTGGTGCCACTCCACTTCAAGCTATGATTTCACTTGTATTTCAGAACGTGAATTTGTATTTCAGAGTCAGAATTTCCTGATGAAAACCAAATCATTTCCACCAAACATCTGCAGTTCAGTACCAAAACTTCAATAGAAAAGATACCATACGCACACTCCCCCTATGATACAGATTTCTTTGTAACAGCATGCCCTGGATTCCACTTTTCTACTCTTCAGCTGAGCAACTTGAGGCAGAGAACATATACATACCGCATGGAACACTAAGGACAGAGATTTTGTGAAAGGGAGGGCTGCCATTAGCCAGTGAATCTTAAACACATCGTTTCTGGGAATAACAAAAAAAAAAAAAGTGTCAACTAAGAGCCAGCAGGAAAAGATCTTAATTTCACAAAGGTATTTCTCTATCATCTATAAATATCAAACAACAACTCCCAGGCTGAGCTATTAGAGGAAAGGCATTTTCTTTACTGAATGCTGCAGTCTGAATATTTGCAACGTCCTGAACAACATTTCAACTAGATGTTCTACAAGATTTTTTTTTAAATACTTGAGTTAACTAAAAATAGCAATTCATAGGAATATCCTGTACATTTAGGTCATAACTGTTTTTAGAAAGCTTATAGACATAATTCAAATAGGTAACTTTTTTCCCAAGTCATTACACCAGGCCACCGAGCAAACTTCAGATCACCAAATAACCAGATCTCAAAGTGAACTCCAGACTAAGTCAGAGGTAAAGTTAAAATGGAATCCTAGGAGTTTCTGGCTTCTGATGCTAGGTTTTAAACTATGAAAAAGTGCAGTTTTCAATCAGAAATTCCTACTACTTTCAATTATAATCAGTTTTTTATGACTCCCTGCTGCCATAAGCTATCATTCACCATATGAAAAATGTGATTAAGTTCTCCTTGTTAATTAGCACTACTTTCAACACAGCATTCTCCTTTCATCTCTGATTATAGGGAGTTCCCTGTTCAGTTTTCTCCACAATATATTTGAATATGTGCACCACACAATTTAACATTAGACTTGCTAACTTTGTAAAAATGGTCTGCAAAAATGATACTGATGGAAGTAACTGTTTTTTTAACTAGAAATTGCATGGATTAGGCATATAAGACTGAGCCATATAAGACTTAGGCATATAAGACTGAGCCAGATTTGGAGTTTCAAGTAATTTAGTCTGACAGTGAATTGTGCATAATAAAAGAAGGGGGGGGAGGGAAGTGGGGGAGTCTAATGAGCCAGGTCCATACTTTTACTCACACAGAACTGGTTTGTTTACCTGCGTTTTCGAAGTATGTGGATCCACACAGTCCCAGACAGGAAAAAGAAGAGAGCCATAGAAATGTAAAGTTTTGGCAGTGGGATCTCGCCCGCTGAGAGGTAGCTTTCAGGATTCTTTTCCGTAATTTCTATCTGAATATTAAAGATGTTATATGTACAGTTGAAAAAAATACTTTGCGAAAGCATCAAATTAGCAATTACAGCTCACAATCAAATTCACTCTTAAAATTAACTTTCCTGAAGCTGTAACTAATGAGACACTTTAAAAAGCAGTTTTTTCTTCCTGAAGAATCTCAAAACCTTTTGCAAGTTAGTCCCACAACAATAATTTCCTTCAAAAGCAGAAAAGGGCAGAGGCTCCTTCCGGTACTTGAGTTATGGAACATGATTTAGAAAGTCAAAGTGATTTCTCCCAAATAACAGTTGGTCTGTATACTGAACTCCAGAGTTTGCCCACATTTGATTCAGAAATATCATCTACAACCTTGCATAAACGAGCAGGTTTTTTTTTAATCCTAGTCCCGATTTTTGATGTGGAAAGAGCCTAAATAGCTGCAAGAACTCACTCTTAGGTTTACTACAGTGGGTTTCTTCACTTGTCAAGAGAAAGGAAGCACTCTGCCGCAAGCCTATTACCCTGTGACTGAAAAAACAGAAGCTTTATTTAACATCTCATTCACGCCCCTAAATTGCTTGGTTATACACGCTACGGGTTCATTAAAATAATCTGTCAAAATCAACTTTCAGCAATGAAACGATTCCTTAGATAAAACCAAGCAGGCTAGCTATCCAGGTTCTCTTTTCTCTCCTATTCCTTCAATGGGCCAAAGCAACAAAACAGCAAATGAAACAAACTTGGCCTTTTAAACACGCAGCCTTAGGGAGCAACTTTACAATAGTTTAGGCTGAGGTAAGCT